GGGCCCGCGCGCCCCCGCGGCAGGTGCGGACGGGGGAGCAGCGGCTGCAGACGCGGCACTGGGGGGACCTCGGCCCTGCCTCCACCCAGGGCCTTCCCCAGCGGGTCCGGGCTGCGGTGCTCAGCTCAGGCTTTCGCGCGTGTTCAGACGCTTCGTGGCTCTTGGGGGTGAAGCTTTTTCTGCCTAGGCTTGCTCTGAGGCTGGGCAGGAGCCGAGATCCCACCCAACACTGAGGGATTGGGGAACAGCTGCTGAGACGGGGCCGCATGCAGTCTACGGCGACAGACCAGTTCGTTACAGACTCTTAATCTGCACTTCTGTTAAGCTATTCAGTTCCGAATTTTAGCCACATCCACTTGAGAGAGGTAGTTCCTTACCAGCCTCCTGGCTGTTGCAAGTCTCACAGTGGTTTGTGAGGCCAGAACCTGCTCCCTGCTTGTGGCCCTGCTGTCTCCCTCAGCCCCACCGCACGGCCGGTGTCTCCACTCTCCCGCAGCCAAGTCCTCCCTCATCCGAGTGAAACAGACTGGCAGCTCCTCAGCCCACAGCACCAGCATAAGTAAATAAATAAATGAAATTTAGTCCAGGTTTGTCTAACTCCCAGGATGCTGCACCATGAAGTCAGTTTTCCAGCCCAGGTGGATAGGAGGAAGCTGCATGCAGATGTCACGAAGCAGGTTCCTCCTTGCGTTAGGCACCTTGCGACGGGCTCGCAGGAGGCGCTGTGGGCATGAGCCACACAAATTGCATTTGTGGAAGAGCGAAGGTTTGTGCTTTCCGCAGACCAGAGCAGATGAAGGAGGTAATGACACCGCTGCCTCCCATGGCAGAAGAGCAGTGACTTCTTCAGCCAGGTCTTGCCTCTTCCCACATCCCAATGGCCTTAGCAAAGTGGTCCTGTCAGCTCAGCTCCATTTCTTTTTTACTTCCAGATGGGAAAGGATAAAAGTTTTGTTGTTAGTACAGGTGGAGTAACATGGTGAGACACAGTCAAGCTGAATCATGACTTCTTTCTTTAGCATAAAGTATCTTCTCTTAAATTTACGCTTGCCTTTGTCCATATAAGCTCATGTAACACAGTTTAGTAATCGTGTTTGTTGGGGCCTGTGTTTTAGCTGCTCATTCAAACGCCGTTTTGCTGTGATTTACTGCTTCCCATATGGAGGAGCTGTATAATAATACTAGGTTTTCAATTCTTTACAACTTTTCCAACCCTTAATATGAGCTACTTCATAGCAAGCATCTGTCAGTTAAAACAGCAGCAAATTTGTTTTACCCTCAGAAAGACAAACAATTACCTCGGCGCTCAGAGGCTGCAGCAGGGGAGCCCCTTTCTCCCAGCTGGTGGGAGGTTGCCCTATGGACAAGCCCTGCAGAGGAGCAGGCCAGACGTTCCCACCTGCCCATCTCAGGGCCCCCACCTGCCCCCGGCTCCTGGCTTCAGGTCCCAGCGCTGCCCCCTGCCCCTCCTGGCTTGGGTTGCTGCTCTCCTTGAAGCCAAAGCCCCCGAACCACCACCCAGAACTTGTGTGGCTCCCTCCCCACCCTTGGGGTCACCCAGGTGTTTCACACATTTAGACAGACATGAAACCACACTGAGAGGTCTCCCCTCAGCCTTATGCTGCCTACGGAGCACACACGTCCCTGACCCCCTGCTCTCACGTACCACCGTTTGTGGGCTCTTGCAGACCTTGTAATTCTGAAGTTCTCAGAGGTCATTTTTTAGTTCTGATAGGCTATACATATATATACACATAAGGCAACATACATAGAATCAGAGAATGCTTAAGGTTGGAAGGGACCTCTAGAGGTCATCTAGTCCAACACCATTCTTATTTTCAACCCATAAATCCTAAAAATCAATAGTTTGTAAGGAAGAGGTTGGGATGTTACCATGAACACAAAATGCACATTTTGATGACTGCATATTTCACACACACACTCACGCGTGCCTCTACATGCGTTCTACGCCTTGAAACGTGATTGTCACCTGGACTCCACTGGTGAGACACAGTTTTAGTCCCTAGGGGGCTGCACCACAGTCACACATGGCGACCAGACCAAGTTCTCAGTGGCTTCGTTACAGCAGCCGTGAAGAGGCTGGGTCTTGCCTGGTTTGAGCCCCAGGGGGGCACGTTGAGGGCAGGTCTTTTCAGAACCCCACAGCGCAGTTTCCACCCCAGCCTCTTCCCCTCTCAGCTGTTGATGCCACCATTTGCCACAGCAAAGACTCCTTGTCCTTAACAAGAGCTCCCTTCCAACCCTTCTCCCTGCAATGCAAAGGAGAAGGCACCCCATGCTTCAGCACAAAACATCCCTCCACTGAGGGCAAGAGCCATATTAGGTGTTTCCTCTAGGGGAATGCAGCCTTAAGATGCGACATGAAGGTTTCACTCTGGCTGTAGCTCCTTTTCCAGACCCCAGGAACACCTAAGGTACCGTCCCAAAACCTGCAAAAATGCTGGATGATGAGCAGAGACCTGGAGCCTGCCCTTCAGGCATAATACCACCCACTCCTGGCACTACAGGGCCCTGCTCTACAGCTGAGGGTTTAAGTGGGACTCTGGCAGGCTCCTTCACCCCCAACCTTTCATTTCTTCTTTCTTCAGTCATCTGGGGCCACATTCACTGGATCCTTGGCTGAAGTGTTCTCCTCATCGCAGGGACCACTCGCAGGCCTCAGATGTGCCACGTGCCCTCAGCTCCCCCTTCCCCTCCCGCACGGGTGGGCATAGGGCTCATGGTGGGAGGAAGGCGGGAGCGACTCCCCCAGCCCCACACAGCACCAGGAACCTGGGGCGAGGTGCTCCAGGAAGCCTTGAGAGCATGCCTTGAATTTAAAAAAATAAAGAAAATGCAGAAATAACCACAGATAGGCACAAAACAATCAGAAAAGCCATGTTGCTCTTAACCTACACACAGGGAGTTTGATTTCCCTCCTGCCCCTCACAGAGCAACAGGAGGTACCAGGCCCGGAGCTCTTCAGATGCTGCCCCTTCAGCTGCCAGCAGAAAGGTCTGCTCCCAGATGTGAGCAGTGAGCTCCTTCCTGCTAAACTAGAGCACAACTAGCCTTAGAAACAGAAAAATATGAAATACAAAGGCTATTTCGCCTTCTATTTTACTTCCTAAAGCCTCTCAACTTTCGTAGTAGCTACCCAAGGCAGTTTTCTAGTGGAGTTTTTAGAGTGGGATGGGGGAAAAAGGAGAAATAAAGACACTGCAGTGCAGCCTGTCATCATAAATATCTTTATTGTGAAAAATACCATAAAATAATTCCCACAGTTTTAGAAAAAACAGTTCTTGCTTTTTTAAATTTCTTATGATTTTATATAAAGACATTTTACAATTTGAAACATTTGATAAATCTCTGGCTAATTTACTTATCCTTCTTAAAACTTAAAACTGCAGTGGGCAAAAACAAAAGAAAAGAAAAAGAGAAAGAAAAAAAAAGAAATTCTCCCAGCTTTTTTTTTTTTTTTTTAAGCTTTAGGGATAAAAGTTTGTATTACAGAGCAAACAATACCTTACAATAAGGCACTTTTAAATACAACTAACCTGCTATGCTACACTGGCTAGTTTCCAGCAAAGCTCCTACAAATCACAGCCCTAAACAGGAAAATAAGTCTTATTTCACAACTCTGAAAACTGAAATATTAAGCATTTGTGTAAGCTGACACATTTTCTGCTTATATCACAAGCTTCGAGTTCTTAAGTTCATTATTCATTTTGAATTTGTTAATACTGACTCATTAACACATCAGTATTAAGCATGTATGAAGTAAAGTACATTTTCCCACCTGCCTCCATTTTCAAACAAGTTGGAAACTCATTTATAAAAAAGTGAACTATAGGTTTTAACATAAAAAGTTTGCATCTACCTACAGCCAATTATTGTAATGATGCTTCATGCACATTTTAGGATTTACAAAGTGTCAAGACATTTATTTCAATGCTCAGTTATTGAACATTATTGCACTACAGACACCCATTATAAATAAAAAGGTGAATTCAGCTTCCTTTTTATAGTTTGCACCAATAATACTCTGTGTTACAAAAACTTCATCTTCTGAAGCCAGCAAATGCCTCAGTGTATCTGGAAAGGGTTGACACAAAAGTGTCTTTGCTTCAATACAACTCCGGCCCTTTGTGTTTCAAAAGTACCTTAAAGTGAAAGCCAGTGTCTGCTCCCTAAAAAAAAACACATCTGCACCACGGGTAACAGCTAAAAGGGCAACATTTCTGTAATCAGTCCGCCTTAGGGCAGGAAACCTTTCCCTCCACGGCCACTTGTGTCATCCTTTCCAAGACCGCCTGCCACGGGAGACACGAGCACTGCTGTGCCTGCCCTCTGGCTGGACTTGGGCTCTTTCTCTTCTCCCCAGTACATTTTCCTATCCAGTTTACCTCAAAACCAACCCTAATCCCCCTCTGCTGCTGCTCGCTTCCCATGTGTGGCACAATGTCCACTTTCTCAGAAAAAACACGTGCTGCTCTGCCAGCAGCCCATGGGATGAGCGACCTACCTCAGATTTACCTCCCTAAAATGCACAGAAGTAGCAACCTGCGACTGGACTCCCTCGGCGAAGAGGGAGGCACAGGAAGGACTCCGAGCGAGTCCTTCCAGCACCCCCTCCCCGGCACGCGATGCCGCCTGCGGCCTTCCCCGCTCGGCACCCACGTGCTGAGGCCACAGGAGGGGACACATGAACGCTCACACCCGTGTTCCCATGCATGTTCACACACGTGTGCTTGCGCAGCGGGCGCCCCGCTGGCGCTCCGTCTGTGGGAGCCATTTGGGCCCC